TATGCATCAGGTTTCTCCAATGAAAGAACCAGAGTTTTGCATTCCAAAGTCAGAAAACTGACAGTTAGCAAAGTGTGATTTCTTTTTACAGCTGTGATGGGAAAATGATATAAAGATGCTTTGTTTAGCATAGCCACTTTTTGAAAAATCTCTTGTCTGTAAAGGTAGACTACAAATTGTCTATAAACCAGACTTTATTCTGCACTGTTTGGAATTCCTTCAAGAACAGTTTGACTTTTAGAGATTTCAGCAACTGTATTTGCTTATGGAAAAAAAGAAAAAGCAATTTCATGGTCACTCCTGAAGGAGTCAAAACATTGTGAAACAGCTGTAAACATCACCAAGGCCAAAAAATAGCTCTGAAGCACTGTACATATACACAATTATAAAGTGAGACTTGCTTCTCATCTACAAAATTGCTGAATATTTGGGAATACACATTTCACCTTTATGGGTGCAGTCGCTTTATTTGTGCCTCTGCACAAATTTCTGGAAGAAGTGAGAAAGAGTGAAAAGCTCAAGAGAAAAAAGCCCTAAGCAGAGCAATGCCAAACACTGGGAGCTTCATGTGTAGACATCTTTATTTTAATTGTACGTGAAACAGACTTGATGCAAGTGAAAAAATACCCAGGTTAATACCTTTTCACAGTATGACAGCACAAAAAATGTTTTCACCAGAGATTCCATTTTGTTGAGCAAAAGGACAACAAAATCTCCTGAATCTGAAATGTTTGTAATATAATGATAAGACACAAATCATCACCCATTGGACAGAGGAAAACAATTAGACAGCCTTTGGCTACTGTGATAGACGCGGGTCTCCATTGCTTTTCAAGAAGGAAGGGAGCAGATTTGCCTTTTCAAAATATTAGCAAGCAGTACTGTAACAAAAGACATGTGAAGATTAGCATTCCTCAACTATCCACTAAACAATTACATTTAAAATCCAACTTAGAGAAAATTGCATACGGAGAGTTCAAAAAAACAAAGTGGAAAAATAATATTTTTTGCCATATCTGATAAACAGTTTAATTCAAATAGAAATGAAAGGTGAAATGATTTCTAAATTTACAGAGTAGTTCAATAAATATGGATGTTCTTAAACAGCAGAACTGCAAATAACACCAAGGCCTTGAACCAACACAGAGAATTGCTGAGAAAGAGAATTATAAGTCTGTTTTAGAAACTGAGTCATATCTTGTGAAATAGCTTCAGGACAGCAATAAAAGTCTGAATGCAGATTTCCAAAATGAACTCTAGCAACTTTACTTCAGTTCCTCTCCAGCAATCAGCAGTGTTAATATAAAGGCCAGTGAAGAATGCAGAAAGGTCATTTTTAGTTGTATTGGCTCTTTCTAAAATGACAACTGCGAAAAGTAGTAACATTAGTAAAAGCAGTAAAATTTCATTCTGAACATGAAGAGATACAGCTCTATGTATAAAGATGCATCAGCTAGACTTATTAAGAAAGCATCAAATTTATAAAAGTCTCTGCTGGGGGAACTACACTTCATTAACACCTTACATTTTGTCTTAATTGTGTTATCTCAGAAAACAGATCCATTACAGTTAAGCCAAGTTAGTTAAATTGGGGTAGACTGACACATAAATGCTCCAAACCACTAACGGTTTTCTTGTTTCAAACAAGAGCACAAAGCTAAGGTTTAAGCAAGTTTAAAAGAATAGATGTAAATAAATCTATGTAAGTTGAACCAAGGCCATAGACACAGATCTCCTTCCCGAGCCGGTGACATCAGTGGATGCTGGGTATCACTGCCTTACTTTGCAGGAGGAGATACCTTTCTTCTCCCTCAATGCTGACCTGCTGGAGGAATGGCTTTAGGACCATTTTCTCAGGCAAAATCAGCTAAGGAAGCCTACTATTTTTAAGTCAATGGTATGAGATAAAATGGCTAATTTTCATGGAAATTAGCCAAGGAGCACATTCCCATCTGTCCTGCTGGCTGAGAGGCAGCACCCAGAGCAGGAAGACAATGAAAAGGACCTCAGCCAAGGTACTGGGCATGACACAGGATATTTATCCACATCTCCATGCTGCTTAGTTTTGCATACAAATGTTAAAAAAAGAAACATGGCTCTGAGAATGAGACAACTGGCTTAGCAATTTACACTAAAATAGTCAGAAAAAAAGTTATACAATTCAGCTGGAACATCAGAGCAATGATACCTAGAGAGACCAAAGCTGGTTTAGCTCATCATACCTCCAGCCAGCACTGGATGCCAGGGGGCAGACAGAAGAATCCATCAGCGGTGTTTTCCTGAACTTGTGCAAAACTTTCAGTATCTGCAAAATCTGACAGAATGGAGTTTCTCATCTTACCTCTGCATGACATGCATAATCAGTTCTTTTTGCTTGTTTTGAATCTGGCTCCTTGATGTCTCCTAGTTCTTTTACTGGATGGGTCACTGAATAATCTCAACCTTTCAATGGCAATTGTTTTCTAGCACAGTCTCTGTTTGGTAATCATTTCTCTGGGCAGAAGAACTCAACCTACCTGCTGCTATTGATAATAAAGTCCTTCTCTGCCTTCTGCTGTCTTTGTCATCCTTCTCCAAGTCTTTTCCAGCTGTATCATATCCTCTTCAAAGAGAGGGAGGAGAAAATATTGGTAACACAGGAGTACTAGGGATTTATTCAGTGGCACAGTGATTTTTTTTTCATTTCCTAACATCTTATTTCCTAATGCTTCTTTCCTATAGTTAAAGTTTGCAGTCTAGTAAATAGCAGGACCTCTGTATTAACTGGGCAAAGCTTCAGTACTAAAGGCTATGTCTTTAAAACACAAAGCTATACCAACATTAAGCAACAGCTGAAATTAAAATTACATAGTTACAATAAGTTATTTATTATTCCATGCAATTCAGAGTACTTTGTTTGATTAGACACGTGACTACATAGACAACTATTTTGGGGAGATGATAACACACTGCATACTTCAATTGCTTAACAATTCTGTTATGAATTCCATTATTTCTGTTTGTTTTCAAGTCCCTGCTGTTTAGGATGGAATCACCCTGAGCCACCCACAGACTTCATCTGCTGGAGCCATAGATAGGGCTTAGATAGGGATGATTTGAATGGTGAGAATTGTCACTTCCCTTTTCACTTGGTTTCCATGAGGAACTTGATTTCCTCAGAAGATTTCTTGTAGCATGACAAACAAATAATAACCCTGAAATCTAAGCCTATCTGCCCTCTCTACCCCAAGAAGAAACCGTTTCCATCACTACACACACACTGAAACACCAAGAGAAAACAAACAAAACAAGCTCTGCCTAACCACCAACTCATGATTTGAAAATCTGAGGGCTCAAGGGAGCAGTTCAGAAAGATATAGAAAAATATAAATTACCAACCACAAAAAAATAGATTACAATAATGCCATGCAAATATTCTACAGTGGAAATGCGTGGAATTTTTAATAAACTTAAACATTTATATCATGACACTAAAATTCTTAAGCCTTAGCTGAAGAAACATAAATGAACAGCCAGCTCTGAGTGAGGCTAACCTTGCCCAAGCACTGGGTGTTAACTCAAAGGACAGGTTCTTGTAGATAGGAGCCTCAACACGAGCTAACACAAGAATACTCCTGCAGGAAGCATTCCATATGAAATTGAATCAATATTACAGCCAAAATAGATGAGGACTGCTCTGAAAGCAGTGCCTGCTAATTTATTATGTTGGCCTACAACGCCAGAGGCAGATGTTGCTGGTATGGCAGTACAGTTTGAACCTTCCCACCAACATTCTGTCATATTTTGTCTCTGTGCAACACGCAGCAGCAAAGGGGCAGTCTGTCTGAATTGCATCTGACATGGAACTACTTATAAAGCAAAAACTGAATTCCTCCATGTGAAAACAAGGGCGCCCATTGACATTCATCGATGCTTGCCGAGCATTTAGAGACCAACCAGAAGTCGTGAGCACGGTGAGGCGGCGGATGTTCCGTTCCAGCAGCGATTTGTGAGCGGCGCCCTCACCGGGAACAGGCGGCCAATCTGTTGCGTCTGCTGCCACCTAGCGGCAGTGCCGCACACTGCAGCTCTGTCCCGGCTTCCCTGACAACTCGTACAGCAACATTCAGATCTGGTCTCAAGAGTGGGAACTCTGCAATACGTTAGTTCATATTCTTTCTTTCTTTCTTACTTTTCCTTTATTTCATTTTCTTTCTTTCTTTCTTTCCTTCTTTCCTTATTTCTTTCCTTCCTTCCTTCTTTCTTTCCTTCTTTCCTTCTTTCTTTTTTCTTTCTTTCTTTCCTTCTTTCTTTCCATCTTTCCTTTCTCTCTTTCCTTCTTTCTCCCCTCTTCTTCTTTCCTTCTTTCTTCCTTCCTCCCTTCCTTTTTTCAAAGACCGGCAATTCCTCACGACTTGGAAAAATTAACTCATGCCCTTCCACACGTCCCAAGATACTTATTGCTGCATTTTCGTCTCGGCAGAGCTCTATTTCTCTACCCTAAACCATCACATGGCAGGTTGGACCTTTCTGTGTTCGTTTAACGATTTCTGAGACGAAACACGGAGCAACGCCCGCACCCCCACCTCCCCGTTACAACTATCCTACACTGCAGGCACTGGATCCCGGAAAAGTTTTTTTAACTGAACTCCGCGGCTCCCCACTTGCTTGCACGCCCTCTCGGGATAACTGTTTCACGACATATTTGTAGAGAACTCAGTAAATTATCCCCGCAGGGACCGCGAATTGCCGCCGCCGCCCGCCCCTACCTGCGCGGCGCGCCCCGCCTCGCGGCGTCCCGCTGCTATGGCAACATGGGCCCGCCTCCTCCTGCTCCCTTTGCCGGCCTTCCTCTCATCCTGGCTGCCGATTGGTCGCAGCGTCTTTCCCGCTGACGAATAGGAGAAGAACACGGCCGCGCTGCGCCCTCCCCCTTCTCTCCTCAGCCAATGAGCACGGCGGACCCTCAGCGCCCTCCATCCGCCGGCGAACTACGACTCCCAGTAGGCTCCGCGGCGGGCGGGGCGTTTGCCAACGGCCGCCGCCTGTTTACCGAAGCGGCGCCGGACGGCGTAGCGTCGCCGGCACCATGCAGGCGCTGCCCCCGCGCTGGGCGCCGTCCGTGCTGAGGGCGGCGGGCGGGTGGTGCCGCGGCTGCAGCGGCTCCGCCGAGCTCGGCGGCGCCAAGCCGCTGAAGGAGTGGACGCTGGTGGTCGGCCCGCGGGGGCGGCTGCAGGTGCGGCTGCCGTGCCAGGTGAGCGTGCGGCCGCTCGACCCGCAGCGCTACCCGGGCGCGGACCGCGTGTTGGTCACCGTCAGCGGCGTGGAGCGGAGCGCCCGCCGCCACCTCGAGCACGTCCGGGTGCGCTACGACGAGGCGCTGCAGCTGCTGGCCATCGCTGCCGAGGGCATGGACGGCAAGGCTGCGGTGGACGTCCGGACGCCGGCGAAGTTCGGTGCGTGACGGGGCGGGGCTGTGATACGGCGTGTGGGCTGCCGTTAGGGTCACTAATGCGGGGAGCTGAGATGCACAACGACTCCTCAGCGTACCAAAAAAAAAAGTTATTTGTTTCGAGTGGTTATTCAAGGCTCTGTGTCATCTGCTGCAGTTGTGCTATGGGAGCTGGTGAATAATCCCGTCTGACCAGGTACGAAGGATACTAAATAGGTGTCACCTGTCAGTTTCTAGGCCACTGCGTTATGCTTTTTTAGTTACCACTTCTCCAGGCTTTTATGGCAAAGATGTGCTGAACCTTTAATCTGTTTTATTATTACCAGCTTTGTCTCAGGACAGCCGTACTGATTGCTCTGATGAGTACAGTTGGCTCATTGCTGTGTCCAGCAGTTACTCAGGGCAGAATAAGAACAGGACAGAAAGAAATGATGCTTCACCCAGGAGTACTCTCAGTTGTCAGCTGTTGTAGCCTGTTACAGACCCACAGAGGAACTCTGGGAAGAAGTGCTTGTCTGTGAAAAGCTTTTTGACAAATTCCGTGTCTTCTGACAGAGTGATTCACAGAGTCACAGAATGGCCAGGGTTTGAAGGGACCTCAAGGATCATGAATCTCCAACCCCCCTGCCACATACAGGGCCACCAACCTCCCCATTTAA